CTTTTTCCAGCGAAACTCCTGTCCGACCTACAAATGACTATTTCCCTCTCACGAAAGCTGTCCCCTTCCCCCTCGAACGCTGGCTGTCATCCCGTGTTTTTACTCGATTGCACATGAATGAATACGGCCCCTAGCCCCCGATTCGGCTCCCTTGCATGTTATCGACTTTTCCCACGATGGTTAAATCCCATGAAGTGACTTTGTAGTGGAGAGCCAGCTGTCGGCCACCCCTCGCCCCTTCTTGACCCACTTGATCCTAGAACCATTCGTCCACCCCCTCCGCCCCTGCGGACACCCTGCACGCGAGATAGACGTGGCTGTCGCAGGGCCCCTTCGACATTTCCCACCGTTGACACTTCCATATTGCCTCTGTTCACGAATCCCCCCTTTTTCGGACTGGTGTTTCAGACCAATCCTGAGGCCATATGAATGGCCTCCTGAAATCATATAGAACCAGAGCCACGCCCCCTCTCCCACTAACACACACAAGCCTTCCCAAGACTACTTTCGCCCTACGTGGCATTGTTGTTGAACCTGTGTTGTTCCCTTGTATAGAGTCAGGCAATTTGGCCGATTCCTTTCGCTCTTGATTTGGTGTACCCATGATTGAGGATTGAGGATTGTACATTGTTTATCCTTTACTATTTTTTGCTTAATAATACCGTACTGTCTTGATAGTTGTTATCATTAGGTTTGAAGTACGCGTGACTGCTGAATACTGAGTTGGAGAAGTCAAGAAGACGAAACAATGATAGATTGGCTTCAGTGACATTCATGGACTACAGTATAGTCAGTAGTATTGATCGTGTATGACGGGTCAAGTTTACGAGACTGACGAGTCTAACTTTGGAACTTCGACCTGTGGTCCCAGCCGCAATAGAAACCTGAAAGTTGGTTGAAAAACAGCGGTCATCGTCTTGGGCTTCGTGATAGGAGATATCTACCCAATCATAGTGCTCCGCCAAACGGTTAAGATGAAAATCTTATCAAGCTCACTGCCCCCACCGAATTCTGTTGAAACCTCTGTATTAGGCGTGGTATAAGGCGAGACTCGACTTTAAGCATTTGAATTCATTGTCAGACGGGCGGCCATATATGAATGTGGGACATAGTCCACGTCCATCTTGTTCGTCCTTCTGCGACCGCAGTTCATTAAAAAAACATAGCTGAACAGGAAGACAAACCGTTAATTTAGTTTTCCATACTCGCTTACTGAGAAAAGACTCTACACTGTACCATACTGACTCGAGGACAAAATAATCTTAATATCGGTTCGTATAGATCCTACGCTGGGTGGCGATTGTGTCGAGGCGGTCAATCGAATACGTCGATGAAAGTGATGAAGGCTGACTTTTGGCCCCGTTTTGATTGCACTGTCTGGCGTTTCAGTCAGCTTAACATCTCCCCGGAGCCTCTATGCGGCCATAATGTCGCAAACGCGCACCAAGAAGATATTCGGGTCAATAAGGACGCATGTGTCCCTGATTCCATTCAGAAATGGCCGACATTGACCAGCGACGGCGTATGCCCGAGAGCCGGCAATGAGGATAGTCCGTACAAGAGATAAACAGAAAAAAAAACAGTAGCGGTAGTCACTTAGTTACTGGGATACTTTTCTCCCACCGTCCCAGGAACGAGCACTGAGCGCTGAACCTCGCAACAGGAAGGGATAAACAAAGGTCAGTGAACCTCTTCGCCGCCGGATGCGCTAAATTCGGAGTGATTATCAACAAGCGAACACTCCTGTGCCCGACAGGACTCCAGTCTCTGTCAAGGGTTGGCGAGGCCGACTTCCCAAAAAGACGCACTGGAGGAGTCAGTTAAAGGGTGGCCCAGCCGCCCCCTGTGTTTAAGTAGACCTAAACCAACAGACTCCGTTCATTGGCTCAGTCGTAGGCATTAGAAGTCTCGATTAACCACTTGCAGCCGCAACACAACGCGAGCTGGAATAACAACGTTCGTTTTCGGCCTTTTTATGTGTAGGTAGCGAACAGCCCTCGCTCGGTCTGTGCGTCGGCAACTTCTAGCCCAATCATAGCGATGCCATACCGCCCAATAACTTGGAACATAAGCGGACTTTTTAAACTGAGCCGCCACTTGTTTTTTTTGTCCCCCCCATTCGCATGTACGCTTTGCTATATATACATCGGTTGGCCCAGTACACCCACTAGAAACCGATTTTTCCTTCTCATTGCTTATTTGAACTCCAACAATGAGGTCATCAGCACACGACGCTAGCACTGAATTGAAATAAGCATAATTTGGCCTATATTTTGCGACATATTCAAAGAAATTTCTCCACGATGTCGAAAATCACATCATCTGGCCATTACACATTGCTTTTGATTCCCCAATGTTGTGTGCTTTATGCGCCTTACTTTTTTCATGATGAATGGAGAACGTTTTTGTTGAAAATTTTAGAATGATATTTTCAACATAAAGCGTATCTTCCTTCCCCCCTCTTTCAGGGATTAGTAGGGTAACACCCCTTGAGGTAAAATGATGTCCTTCCTTCCTTCCTTCCTTCCTTCCTTCCTTCCTTCCTTCTTTCCTTCCTTCCCCTTCTAATTTACCAGTTCCCGCTATGTTCCACGAAAAGAAGCTCAAAACGAAAAAAAAACCAAATCTATCCTTGAATCCAAGATTAAGTTTTGGATAAAATGCCCGCGATTACATATGACAATAATTCGTGCTGACCGTCATTGCCTACATAATCAAAGAAGACTCTATGAAGACCGCAGTCGTCTGGCCAGTAACAAAGCAGTTACCGCGGGAACACATCGCTCGAAAAAAATATACTAACGGAAGGAAAGCCTCGAGAATCTGAAAAAAACTCTCCGCAGGCTAAAACTAAATCGTCTTCAACCACAAACTTGGCGATTTGGCAGTCTGCGTTAGTAAAAGGTAGATAAGCGTGAAAGATTGTTTATGATAACTGGTATATACAGCAGGGAGAATATCACAACGGAAGAGTGGGATACACCAGAAGGGAAGGACCCGAACCAAAGGGGCAGGCCTACCGTCCGCCATCGGCTTCCTCCGCATCATCATCCTCATCACTGTGCCCCGTGTCTTCGACAGTGCGATGGAGAAGCATGCCGAGAATACCAGCACGCTGAGCCAGGGATCGCTGAAGCCGCGCCTCCTCCTGCAAAAGCTCGTCCATTCT